TGCAGTAAAAGAACCAAGAGCACTGAAATAGACAAATCTGAGGCAGGTAAGCACTAGGATAGCTTAGCAACCAGGACCTCCACCTGGCTCAAGCTTCCCACATACCACTTTTCCCAACAAAATGCTTAGCAGGCCCCATCTGCATCAGGCCACAGGCACACCCCTTCCAAACAAAGCAATCCAAAACAAACATCACTCCGACCTAAAGCTCCTTAGAAACCCCTAGAAACTCCAATTTCTTAACTAGATGTATCCTGGAAGACATTGGGGAAATCAGGGTCAGTGGCCAGATCCAGCCTGGACTGGTTTGGGGTATATGCACAGTAAAGTAAAGTGTGTCCTCTGAGTGAACTTTTAGGAAAATGTTTTTTTTTTTTTAACATCTTAGGCCTATGCATAATTGGGCAGGCATATGATTAAAGTTATATGTATCCAGGGAGGAGGTGCATGACCATATGGAAATGGTCCTACAGTCATCTGGGACCCTTCTCATACACACCTAAAGCAATGATGTTAGTATGCACAAGACCCATGCAAACTTAGGCAGACAAAAACCCAGGACAGACTGTAGAAATGACAAGCAGGCCCCAATCTTAGTAGAATTAGTGGCAGCTGATTACTGCAGGCTGCAGAAGAGCTGATCTTCTTGAAGGGAGAGACTCTAGATAGACTGACTAATCCCTGGTGGATGAACTTGCAGAAGGCTATCTCGGGACACTAACTTTACATAATAGGCCTCAATACAAATGACAGAATATATGAACCCCAGTGGGAGGGGGACTATGGAGGGGTGCCAAAGGGGAAGGGAGTATGAAGATGATTTTATGTATGAAATGCACAAAAATTCAATTAAAATTTTTTTTAAATTATATGTATCATGGGAAAGGGCATGTATAGTGGACAAAGGTTTACATATCCCATGCCCATTGTGATGGCTAATCCTGAGTGTCAATTTGACTGGATCTGGGATTAACTGAAATGAGAGAGATCTTCTTGACTGGATCATCTGAAGCTGGAAGACACACCCTAAATGTGGGTGTTACCTTCTGATGGCAGCCGGTATAAAAGGCCACGGCAGAGGAGAACACCTGGCTTTTTGCTTCTTGCCTTCTCTCTCACTGGGGATCCCATCTTGCTGCTGTAGACTGAAGACTAGCTGATCTTTTGGAATTCGTCAGACCTTCAGCACCAGATTGGGACTACTGAGACATCCAGCCTCATGGACTGAGCGACTTCGGATTCTCAGCCTCTCCAGTGTGGTGCAGCCATTGTTGGACTAAGACTCTATCCTGTGAGCTAAACTGATCTCTATACATATATATTCATCCTACCAGTTCTGTTTCTTTGGAGAACCCTGACTAATAATACACCCATCAAGCATAGCCGACCAACCACCCACACTACTCCCAGCACCCAGCTTCCTCTTTCTCCTAGACTTACAGGAGGAAGCCAGGCAGTGAGCAGTGCTTCTGAGCTGTGTGCTCACTCTGAGCTCTGCTCCTTTGCAGCACTTTCACTTTGCTTCAGAATAAAACCTTTGCTGTTTGTGTGTGCTCCTTCAATTCTTTGAACAAGCATTTATTTTTAAAAGTATTCTATTTTTATTTACTTTTATGTGTATGCGTGTATTGCCTGCATGTAGGTAAGTGCACCTGTGTCGCGCAATGCCTGCGGAGGTCAGAAGAGACTGCTGGATCCCCTGGAACTGGAGATACAGACAGTTCTTAGCTGCCATGTGGGTGCTGGGATTCAAACCTGGGTCTTCTGCAAGAATAACCAGTGTTCTTAACTGCTGAGCCATCTCTCCAGCCCCCTCTATTTATTTGTATGTGTGTGAGTGTACTGCCTGCATGTATGTAAGTGCACCCATGTCATGCAGTGCCCGCAGAGGTCAGAAGAGGACGTCGGATTCCCCTGGAACTGGAGTTATGAATGGTTGTTAGCCGCCATGTGGGTGCTGGGAATTGAACCTGGGTCCTCTGCAAGAGCAGGCAGTGTTCTTAACCATTGAGCCATCTCTGCAGCCCCTTTGCCTGCATTTATGTTAGTGCACCCATGTGTGCAATGCCCACAAAAGGCCCAAAGAGGGCATCAGATCTCCTAGAAGAGGGCATTGGATCCTGTGGAACTGGAGTTGCAGACATTAGGCACCCTGTGTGCTGGGAACCAAACCAGGGCAAGAGCAGCCAGTGCTCTTAACCACTGAACCATCTCTCCAGCCCACCTCCCAGACTACCCATCATAAACTTTTTTATGTATAAAAACGTATGAACCTATGTAGGAGAGAGATGGGATCTTATCACATTTAAGAAGTCTGTTCTGGGGCTGGAGAGATGGGGTTACAGATGGTTGTGAGTCACAATTTGGGTGCTGGGGCCCAAACCTGGGTCCTCTGTAAGAGCAACCAGTGCTCTTAACTGCTGAGCCATCTTTCCAGCCCCAGACTGTCCTGTATGGGGGTGGGGGCTGGAGAGATGGCATTGCAGGAGTGTCGTACACTTACACACAGGCAAAATGCTCATAAAAGTAAGTAGGTACTGGAGAGCTCACTCAGCAGTTAAGTGCACTGGTTACCCTTGCACAGGACCAGGTTTGGTTCCCAGCACCCACACAGCAGCTAACAACCATCTATAACTACAGTTCCAGGATATCTGGTGCTCTCCTGGCCTCCACTGGCATTGTACAACACAAGTGCACTTACATACATGCAGGCAAAACACTCACATACATAAAAACAAATTAAATTTTTTACCAGTTTTTTTTTTTTTTTTTTTTTTTTTGAGACAGGGTCTCCCTGTAGCCTCAGCTGACCCGGAACTCACTAGGTAGACCAGGCTGGTCTTGAACTCACAGAGATCCGCCTGCCTCTGCCTCCCAAGTGCTGGGATTAAAGGCATGCACCACCACACCCGACCAAAAACAAATTAAAATTTTTAAATAAAAATAAATTTATGGAGTTTGCTCTCATTCCCTGACTGTCTTGTATTTGCTCTATATTTAGAGAAGTCACTTAGAAGTAAATGTCATGTAGAGGACAAAGGGATTTACTTTTGCACAAGCAAATCTGTTTTCGATACTGTTAAGTAAGCCATTGATGTGAAATGTCATTTTCACTATAAATTTTCTTTATATGTACATGTATATATGACCACACACAATATTTCAAACCTGGGAAAATTCTTAGAATTTCATTAGGTATAAAAAAAAATCTGTGTAAGCCGGGCATGGTGGTGCACGCCTGTAGTCCCAGCACTTGGGAGGCAGAGGCAAGCGGATCTCTGTGAGTTCAAGGCCAGCCTGGTCTACATAGTGAGTTCCAGGACAGCTGGGGCTACAGGGAGACCCTGTCTCAAAAAGACAAAAAAAAAAAATCTGTGTAATGTCGGGCATGATGTTACATGTTTTTAATTCCAGTACTCAGGAGACAGAGGCAGGTGGACCTCTGTGAGATCAAGGCCAGCCTGGTCTACATAGTGAGCTCTAGACCAGCTGGGGCTACAGGGAGACCCTGTCTCAAAACAACAAAAACAAAGCAAAACAAACAAACAATCTGTGGACTAAAGATATCAATATGAGACTATGTCTTTCTTTAAGAGAAGAAAAAAATATCTGTTTCTTCAAGGTCCCATTTCCATCCTCTGTTAAAGTTTCATCAGTTTCTTTGTGTCTATATCCAGCCGGGAATTGGTATGGCTAGAATTGCAAATTCAAAATCAAGAAGTTCTATAAAATGGTAGATATTGTTATGTTAACAGACTCTGTAGCTACCTTCCCCACCCCCACCCCCCTCAGAAACCAGGCCATGGCCCCTGGAGCTCTCTGCAAGGTCTTGCACGCTCCCTCCCACTTCCATCTTTGAGACAACTGTGAATTACAGCTGGTCTTCATCACTGCCCCCTGACTTCTGGCAGTAGGTTACTCCAGGCTAGGGCATGTGGAATGAAGCTTGCCCAAGGCCCTGAAAAGCTGTAAGACAGAGAATCTCCCTTTGCTCTCAGGCTCTGAAGGGAACTGAGGAACCCGGAGGCTCCATGTCAGTTCAGGGTCCCTCCCGGCTCTGTCTCCTAATGTTCTCCCCCTTTAAGGGCCCCATCATGGCTGGCTATGGCCATAAGCCTGTAACTCTCCCGATAAAGTTCATTATGAAGGGTCATAGTGTGATGGCTTCTCTCTACAAACCTGCCTCTTTTATAAGTTATAACAGATATAAGTCCATAGGGAGTGTTTTGAACTTAAAAGAACTAGCAAACAGCAGTACTTCTAAAGGCATTAATATTTGTTTTAAACTCAATCTACACCAAATCAAATATGTTTGTGGGAAGCCAGTTTGAGCACTGGGCTATAATTCCATTTTCTTTTCTCCTTTAGTTTTGGAACTTTAAAAATTAGCAAATTATTTTGGTTTAAATGATGCAAGTTTGATGCGACTCACCTGCCTGGTACAGGGAAAGAGCATCAAACTTATATTTTTATTTTCTGTTCTTCACTGGCTATTGATCAAAATTTCTGCCTACTTTTTAAAATGTCTGTTTTGCTTTTGTTTACACAAACATGGTGAGTGTATCTCAGTAAATTCTACCTCAAGTGGCTTTTTTAAAAAGCAAATTTGGCTTCATAGAACTATTGGACGAATCGCTTTTCTTGGTGAGTCATATATTTATAGATTTATGCTGAAACAGAAGCCACCATCAGAGTCCAATGTCAATCCAAACGTATTAGATCTCACCTCTTAACTGTAACACAGAGCCTATGTAGCCCAGGCTGGCCTTAAACTCATTAGTAACTGAGATGACGTTGGTTGTCTACATTCAGGTTATGGGATCCTGGGGACTGAACCCAGGGCTTTTTGTGCCCACTAGGCAAGTACCTTACAAACTGAGTTACAACCTCAGCCCTTAACATTAGAATTCCTAAAAAAAAAAAAAAAAGCTTTAAAAAAAAGCTTTACACTCTCTCAAATCTGTTTCTGTTTCTTTATGATTAAAATGATCAGCTTTTCTTTATACATCATAGTATTTTTTATTTTCATTTAATATTTTTTTACTTTATGCCAGGCACGGTGCTAAGGAATTTACATGCATAACTTAATTCTCCCAAGAATTTTTGAGGTAGAACTGTTATTTCCATAATATAAATAAGAATGGAAATTCCAAAGGACAAAATGCTCCCCTAAAATTGGGAATGAGAAACAGAAGAGCAAGGGTTAGAGCCTCGATCTATCTGATGCTGGCAGGAGTTATAATTCTGGACGTATGTGAAGAATGAGATGGATAGAGACACGGAGGCTTTAAAAGAAGTCTGGAACCAGGTATTGGAGACAGGGAGGCATTTTAAGTTACTCTAAGGAAAATGCGCTTTTCCCCTAAGAACTTTTGGATGTCACTGAAGAATTAATGAAGGATAAATAATATGATCAAAACTTACTTAAGGTCTAGCTGAAATGTGGAAATTGACAGATCCAATGGGCGAATACACTTAGAAAGCTATTTCCATATGCCATGTGAAACAGATTAACACGTATCAGACAAGGACGGGGAAATGCAAATGATCTAATGGGTCACATCTGGGTCATATTTAGGAGATAAAACCTATAGTTCTTGGCAGGTGATTGGATGTGGAGGGCAAAGGAGAGGAAAGGGACAGGAATGACTCCATAGTATGAATTTTTTCATGATGAGCAAGATGTGCACGCTGCCTGAAAGACTTCCTGCAGTCTTTACATTCATAGGGTTTCTCTCCAGTATGGATTCGCTGATGTAGAGTAAGAGATCCACTGTAACTAAAGGCTTTCCCACAAATGTTACATTCATAAGGTTTCTCTCCAGTATGAATTCTTTGATGTTGAGCGAGGCCTGCATTTTGGCTAAATGTTTTCCTACATTCCTTACACATATAGGGTTTCTCTCCAGTATGACTTCTCTGATGCTGTGCCAGTGATGAACTGTTGCTGAAGGCCTTCCCACATTGAACACATTCATAGGGCTTCTCTCCAGTATGAACCCTCTGATGTTGATCAAGGTAAGCAATCTGGCTGAAGGCTTTTCTACATACTTTACATTCATAAGGTTTCTCTCCAGTATGAACTCTCTGATGCTGAGAAAGGTGTGCATACTGGCTGAAGGATTTCCTACATTCTTTACATTCATAGGGTCTCTCTCCCGTATGAATTCTTTGATGTACTATCAGGTATCCACGATGACTAAAGGCCTTCCCACACACATTACACACATAAGGTTTCTCTCCTGTATGAATCCTTTGATGTTGAGCAAGAAATGAACCATTACTAAAGGCTTTTCCACATTCAATACATTCAAAAGGTCTCTCTCCAGTATGAACTCTCTGGTGTTGAGTCAAGTGTGCAATCTGGCTGAAGGCTTTTTTACACTCTTTACACTGATAAGGTTTTTCTCCAGTATGAACTCTCTGATGTTGAGCAAGGTGTGCATTCTGGCTGAAGGCCTTTCTACATTCCTTACATTCATAAGGTTTTTCCCCAGTATGTATTCTCTTATGTTGAGCTAGGTTTGCACTTTGGCTGAAGGTTTTCCCGCATTCAACACATGCATAAGGTTTCTCTCCAGTATGAATTCTCTGATGGAGAGTTAGGGATGAGCTCTGGTTAAAGACTTTCTCACATTCATTACACTTCAAGATTTTCTTTTCTACGTAGACCTTCTTATGTTTTGCTTCCACAGACTTTTTCCGGTACCTTCTCTTTTGTGGTTCACACTTACGTGCTCTTTCTTTGGTGGAGAAACTCTGTGGTATACCTAGTATTGCATCCTGATGGAATGTGGGCCAAGATTTATTGCACCCATGTCTTTGATCTCCAGGGACTTCTTCATAAGGGGCAGTCAACTGACCTTCCAACTTGGTCTTGAGTAAGTCCTCGCTCTCACAATCTTCTTTCCATTTGGGACAGTCAAGGCTGTAACTAAGATGGCTTCTTCCCACTGTTAGTCCTTTGGCTGATTCTTCATAAATATCTTGCTTTGATGAAAATTCAGTGCCTTTAAACACGTACTCCCAATCTAAAAGATACCAAGAAAATAAAATGTTTTTTACATTTACTCATTAGAAGAAAACAAATGTTGAAACAAAAATAGGAAGTAGAAAAAAAAGAGGTTAAAGGACTGAATATCTCTTAATACAGCTTTAAAATTATACACAGTGAGAATATAAGGAACTTGATTAATCATTAGTAAATATCCTTCAGAGAACCAAAAAATTAAAATCACAACTACCATTTTATATTTAAGTTAACAATATGGTCTCCAAGCATGTTTCCTTTCTTCTTCTCAAGCTAAGTTAATCATTTTTAAACACCAATTTTAGAATTTGTCAAGAATGGGTAAAGCTGGGTGTGGTAGTGCAAGCCTTTAATTCCAGCCCTCGGGGGGCACAGGCAAGTGGAGTGGATCTCTGTGAGTTCAAGGCCAGCCTGGTCTACATAGTGGATTCCAGGCCAGCTGGGGTTACAGAGAGACCCTGTCTCAAAAAAAAAGAAAAAAGAAAAAGTAGCTAAAATTTTTTCATTGAATGCTCAGCTGTAAATTCACACCAGATGATGTCCGATGGTTTGTTAATTTTTTCAGTTGAGGAAAGGACTTCCTGAAAATAATTTTGAATAAGTTCAAACTAGATATAAATTTTCAGTTGATCCCTGAAGTACAATGCCTTCATGAAAGCATAACTTTGTATCAAATTGCTTGTCTTTATTAACTTAGTACAGGCCTTAATTTGCTTTCTCTTTACCAGTCCCAAATTTACTATTTTTCATTCCATTTATTATGTTTGTGTGTTCATGTGTGTGTGTAAGTGCATTCCATGCGGAGATCGGAGGACAACTTGCGGGAGTTGGTTCTCTCCTTCCACAATGTGGGTCCTGAGAACAGAGCTAGGGTCATCAGGTTTAGTGGTAAGAGCCTTTACCCACTGAGCCATCTTTTTTTTTTTTTTCAAAATTAAAACTTTATTGAAAAAAAAAACAAACATAATCACATTGTCTTGGTAGAGTAACTGAGCTTAAGGCCTTGTGAGAAAACACAAATGCAGGACGTTGTACGGGTCATTAGTGCTGCTTTCCTCTAAATGAACAGTCTCCTGTGAGTCAGGCCTTTCCTCCTGTAGGCTGGCCCGGGGCTGTTAACAACCCACACAAAGAACCACTCTCTAAGCATGGCTGACATCCGTGGCCATCTTGTAGCAAGCTGGACATTTTACATTGTGAAATAAGAACTTGGACTTTGAACTGGCCATTTCTTTCTATGTTTTTTCCTTTTCCTCTTCCAAGGATGGATGTAGTAAATCTCTAGCCAAGGCCTGGCAGTAGCTTCACCAGCACTATGGCTCCAGGTCTCTGAGGGGAGCCGCTCTCCCCACTGAGTCATCTTGCTGGCCAAAGATTACCTCTTTTTATGTGTTTTGAGACCAGGGTCTTAGAAGTCAACAAATCTAGGCAACAATTAGTAAATGCATAGAACTGCCTTGTCCTAATTTATATTGCTATAACCTACTTCTGACAACTATCCAATAGGTATTTATGGTATGTTCAATAAGACAGCCATATCTTGGGTCATAAGCCAAGACTCAATACATTTCAAAGTACCGGAATCAGAGAGAATATGTTCTCTAGCCTCAACAGAATCGAGTGTAAAACAAATGATGTCTAGTAAATACTACATAGTAGAGGACTAAGGAACCTCTGTCATTTTAAGATGCTTATATTTAAAATAACCCACAGAAGACTGTATGTAAGTCAGTAAGATGCCACCTCAGAAGGAGAGACTGCAGCTACACAGGAAAGCAGGAAGACACAAGCTACATGAGAAACTACACAATACAATCAACATGGAAATTAAAGCCAAATTAGGTTTCTTGAAAAGATCACCAATTTAAGCAAAACAACAAGAAAGAGGGCTGGTAAGGTGGCTGCTGAGCGGGTGAAGTTCTTGCCCCCAGGCCTACAGCCTGAATTGGGTCCCCAGAACCCACAAGGTAGAAAGAGAAAACCACCCTTGTAAGTTGTCCATTGACCTTTATACTCTGTGGCACGTGTGCATGTACCCACAGAATAAATACTCTATAAAAATATTTTAGAAAAATAACAAAAGAGAGCCAGAGGTAGGCAGATCTCTGTGAGTTCAAGGCCAGAGTTTCAGGCCAGCTGCTGTAAAAAAAAAGAAAAAAGGCAAAATGAAGAAAAATAACAAAAGAAAAAAATTACCAACATCAGAACTAAAAGCAGAATTATCACCACACTCTAGAAAACTAAAAAAGTATGAGAACATTATATTATATTAATAACCTGGACTACTCGAGTGAAATGCATAAATCTCTTGAAGGATACGGCCTTACCAAAGCTAAAGCAAGAAGAATTAATTTGGGCGAACTCACTTATTTTCATTTTATGTACATGAGTGTGTTGCCTGCATGTATGTAAATGTACCTATGTAGTAAAATTCTCACAGAGGCCAGAAGAGGGCGTCAGATCCCTTGGAACTGGAGTTAGAGATGGTTGTTAGCTGCCAAGTGGGTATTGGGATCTGAACTGGTCTTCTGCAAGGGCAGTCAGTACTCTTAACTGCTGAGCCACCTCTCCTGCCCCAAGCAAGAATTAAATGAAGTAACCCCACATCTATTAAATCCGTTACCTACAACTGTCTTCACTAGTGAATTCTACCAAAGATTTAAAGGCAAAGAAGACCATTCTATGAAACTCAGAAAGTAGAAGAGGATAAAAATACTTCTCAACTCGTCTTCATAAAGCCAGCATTCTCTTGATAATCAAGCTGTATAAAGACATTACTAGTAATCCCACAGATGCAGCACCTAAATATAAATGCAAAAACCATAGAAGGTCAAATTCAGCAAGATATGGAAGACATACTTTTGACCAAGAATTAACTCCAAGGAGTGCAAGACTGCTTTAATATGGAAAGTCACCAATGCGGTTCACCATGTTAACAGGAAAACAAAACTACACATGATCATCTCAGTCACCAATGAGGTTCACCATGTTAACAAGGAAAACAAAACTACACATGATCATCTCAGTCACCAATGCGGTTCACCATGTTAACAGGAAAACAAAACTACACATGATCATCTCAGTCACCAATGAGGTTCACGATGTTAACAAGGAAAACAAAACTACACATGATCATCTCAGTCACCAATGAGGTTCACCATGTTAACAGGAAAACAAAACTACACATGATCATCTCAGTCACCAATGAGGTTCACCATGTTAACAGGAAAACAAAACTACACATGATCATCTCAGTCACCAACGCGGTTCACCATGTTAACAGGAAAACAAAACTACACATGATCATCTCAGTCACCAACGCGGTTCACCATGTTAACAGGAAAACAAAACTACACATGATCATCTCAGTCACCAACGCGGTTCACCATGTTAACAGGAAAACAAAACTACACATGATCATCTCAACAGACGTACAAAGAGCACTGAATCTATTTATTATAAAACTTTTAGCAAACCAAGAACAGAAAGGAGCTGTTTTTAGTTAGCTGAAATCTACAGTTCACATCAAGTTAATGGTAAAAAGTAGAATACATATCCTCTCAAGACTGGAACAGTATAAGGAAACATGCTCTTACCAGCTCTACTCAACACTGTACAGGGCATGCTAGCCACTGCCACACGTCAGGAAAATAAAGGAAGGTAAAGGCGAGAAGGACGAAGTGAAACTGCCTGACTTCACAGACGGCATGATGATGCCAAACCGCCTGAGAATCAGGGAGAAAATGTACAACACACGGAACATGAGACTGGACATTAAAATATTCCTGAAAAATTAAAGAAATTGCAATAAATGACTTATTAAACCATAGGCATAAGTTATAAGAATTTGGTTAAGACTCCCAACTGATGTGTAGATTAAATATAATCTCAAACAAACTCTTTTCTGAGTGAAAATTCTCAACTTCGTTCTAAAATTTATATGATGCTCCAATATAGCCAAATTGTACTGCCTGGTGTCATTTTATATACTGCAACAGTAATTAGGACAATGCGTTTTTGTTTTTCTTTTCTTTTTGGAGACAGGGTCTCACTGTGCTGTCCTGGCTGGCCTGAACTCACTAGGTAAACTAGAATGGTCTCAAACTCAGGGTTCTGGCTCCTGAGTGTTGGGATTAAAGGCCTGTGCCACCAAGCCTGGTGACAATGTGGTTCCTATGAAAGGGTGAACATGTATAAAGTGGAGCAGCGGCACAGTCCAGAATTAAATCTGTACATGTGTATTCAGCAGACTTCCAGCAAAGATATCAAAGCAGTACAACAGTGAAGGAAAGCCTTCACCGACCAAGAGCACTATATATCCATGGCTGAAACCAATGAACCTCAGCCTTTACCCCACATAAGACACAAAGATTAGCTTCAAATGGATCAGCTCATAAACGTAAAAGCTAAGTCTATAAAACTACTAGAAGAAAAGCTTTGTGACTGAGCTTTAGCAAGAATTTCTTAGCTATGATGCAAGAAGCGACAAGACACACTAATGAACTGGATTTTACAAAAATTGAAAACTTTTGTTCTACCAAAGCCAGCATTAGAAAAACAAAGAGTCAAGACACATGCCTTTAATCCCAACCCTTGGGAGGCAGAGGCAGGAGGATTTCTATGAGATGGAGGCCAGCCTGGTCCACCTAGTGACTTCCAGGTGGTCTGGGACTAGGGAGAACTTGTCAAAAAAAAACAATAAAAAAAAGAAAAGAAAAAAAAAACCAAAAATGTGGGGGGCTGGAGAGATTGCTCCACAGTAAAGAGCACTGGCAGCTCTTGCAGAGGACCCAGGTTCGATTCCCAGCACTCACATGGCAGCTAACAGCCATTCGTAACTCCAATTCCAGGGGAATCCAATGTCCTCATCTGATCTCCATGGCTACTGCATGACACAGGTATACTTACACACATGCAGGCAATATACTCATACACAGAAAATAAAAATAAAATAAATTTGAACAAGCACTTCATGAAAGATACACATACATGGCCAACCAGCATATGAAAAGACGCTCCAAACTATTCATCACAGAAATGCCACCAAAGCCATGTTACAATGATGAGAACGGCAAAAATCAGAAACACACTGACGATGCCAAGACTCAGAGGGGATGTGAATAAAGCAGCTAGAGTGCTCGGAGCTCACTACAAAGAATACAAAATCCCTTTGGGGATTACCAAGTGCATTACAGAGTTAAACATAAAGCTCATGATTCCCTATGTCCACACAGAGGCTCGTACATGACAGCTTCAAGCAGCTTTATCTCTAACAGCCCCATGTAGAAAACAACAGATGCCCATCTCCAGGTGAATGGATAATTTGTTTACTCATAACAGACCCTAGTCAATACTCAGAGATAAAGAGAGTAATTATTCATACATGCAACATCCCAGATGGATCTCAAAACCATCCTGCTAAGGGAAATAAGCTATACATAACATAACCCACATGGCATGATTCCATTCAAGTTAGATGCAAACTAACCTAAAATGATAAAGGGGCTGGAGATGGCTCAGTGAGTAAAGCACTTGCCACACAAGCGGGAGGACCTGAGTTTGAATCCCTAGAGCCCATGTAAAGTTGAGCATGGTAATCCCAGTGCTCCCACAGGGACATGGGGTGAACGCAGGAGAACCCCAAGAAGCTTACAGACCAGCCAGCCTGGTGTATACAGCACAGCAGCAGACCCAGACCCTGCCTCAAGCACAGTGGAAGGAGAGGATGAGACCTGAGCCAGGCTGTCCTCTGCCTCCACACATATGCTGTGGATTGCATGCACCTGCATACACGCACACATGTGTGTGCACACATCATCCATATGCACACACCTGTGCACACACAGAATAAAATCAAATAGAATAATAGATTATACCAATGCTTCTTTGGAACTAGGAGTGAAAGAAAACACGGAGTACAGAGAGGCAAGCTGCCTTGGATAATTACGGAAAGCCTTGATTGTCTCATAGGTGATGGTCTCATAGGTATATACTCGTGCCAAAACTCCAACTGTACTGTTTATATGGATGCAGTTTACTGTGAACAGATCTTAAGATTAATACTACCTTGTGTTCAGCATGGTGGTGTACACCTTTAATCCCAGCACTTGGGAGGCAGAGGCAGGCGGATCTTCGTGAGTTCAAGGCCAGCCTGGTCTACACGGCGAGTTCTAGGCCAGCTGGCGCTACAGGGCGCCCCTCTCTCAAAAAAGACACACACACACACATACACACACAAAAGATTAATACTACTTGATCACACATAATAAAACAATCTGACCAAACTGGAATAAAACAAAGAAATTCTCTTTAAAAAAACAACTCAAGTGAAAGGGGAATTTAAAACTCTAGGGAATGGCAACAAGGGAGCGTGAAGAACTCAGAGGGACGCTCACAGCCCGTGACAATTTTACCACTGAGCAAAGGAGAATGAGCTTAGCAGATGAACCATTCTTTCAACAGTAGGGAGAATTTTCTTTTTAAGTTTGTGCTTTTTTTAAAAAAATATTTTATTTATTATTTTTATTTTATGTGTATGAGTGTATTGCCTGCATGCATGTGAGTGCACCCGTGTCGTGCAATGTCGTGGAGGTCAGAAGAGGCTTCGGATTCCCCTGGAACTGGAGTTAAGGAAGGTTTGCAGCTGCCATGTGGGTGCTGAGAATCGAACCCGGGTCCTCTGCAAGAGGTACTCTTAACAGCTGAGCCATTTCTCCAGCCCCAGGGAAAATTTTTTAAAGAGAAAATCAGGAGGAGAAAAAAAAGAGAAAAGCAAAAAACAGAGAATTGAAAAAAGAAAGTAGTAATTCAAAATAAAGCATAAGCTGGGTCTTGAAAAAATAAAACTGATCTATGAATAGTAACCTAATAAATTCTTTTTGAAATACTATGATGGGCATTGTGAAGTTCAAGGCCAGCCTGGTCTACAGAATGTGGTCTACAGGCCAGTCAGGGCTATACTGAGACCCTGTCAAAAAAAAAAAAAAGTAAACATAAAGAAATTAAAATCAGAAACTATTGTAGATATACAAGAGAATTATGGGGGCTGGAGAGATAGCTCAGTGGTTAAGAGCACTGACTGCTCTTGCAGAGGACCTGGGTTCAATTCCCAGCACCCACATGGCAGCTACGAACTGTCCTTAACTCCAGTTCCAGGGGAATCCAAAGCCCTCTTCTGACCTCTGCGGCATTGCACGACATGGATGCACTCACATACATCAGGCAATACTCATACACATAAAATAAAAATAATAAATAAAAATGTTTTAAAAAAAGAGAATTATGGGATTTGCTTGGATTCATGGAAATAAGTCTGATTGCCTAGACGAATAATTACTGGAGAAAGAACATAAAATCTAATCAAAGAAACTGTGGAGGCAGTGCCACAGAGGACACTGTGTAAGGTCTCCAAAATCTGCCTCCACAAAGACCTCAGCATCCACATCACCACTCAGCCTCTCACACAGGTTTACCATTCGTTCACAGTGACGCCTCTACATCAGACGACCTTTTCTTAGCCCCTCTCAATCCAATTGTAGGCTGCATCAATACCTGGGAATCTCTTCTCTTCTCTACCCCCCACCTCCTTTCAGGAAATCTCTTTCGCCACGCCCTCCCTACCCCCATGCCTCTTCCTCTTCCTCTTCCTCCTCCTCCTCCCTCCCCCTTCCTCTCTTTCCTCCTCTTCTCCCCAAAGCACAGCCATCATGGATCACTCTCTGTTTGAAACAGATGCTTCAGCATAACCTACCCCAGAGGCAGCAAGGATGATCCGGCCTTTCGGAACAGCAGAACCTCTCCTGGCAGAGACACCCACCTCCCCAGCTCTGTCTCACTCACCCTGGCTTGTGGGTCTTGTTCCCTCCTTCTCCATCCAGGGCTCTTTACCTTGTTCCAGTAATGAGATCACAGCTGGCTTGTAAACTGGAATTCCTGCTTACGAGAAACAGGGTTTAGTCACACTTGTGACATCAAGGCAAGTTTCTGCATTAAAGGGGTGGGGTATTAGGGTAGAAACTGAAGACGGAGAAATATTCTGAAGAATGGGGGAAATGAAGAAACAGTCCAAAGAAGCCGTTGCTCTGGTAAAGCGCAGTTTATTTAGGAAGCTTAAGGAAGAGAAGACATTGTAACTCTTGGAATTGGGCTTGCTATGTTGCTCAGGGTGTTTCCCTCAACTTCGGGGCTCAAGAAATCCTATTTTCTCAGCCCTCTGAGTACATGGAACTACAGACATGTGCCACTACACAGGACTTAAGAAAGAGAAACTGAGCCAGCAAAATGGCAGCAGGTAAAGTGCTTGCAATGTAAGCCCATTATGACCTGAGTTAGATCCATGGGACCCACATAAAGGTGGAGAGACAACCGATTCCACAAAGTTGCCCTCTAACTTCTACATGCACACCATGGCTTATGCACACTTCCCCCGAACATGAACACACACACACACACACACACACACACACACACACACAAATTCAGGTGGGTGTCGGGGCACACGCCTTTAATCTCAGTACTAGAGGGGCAGAAGCAGGTGTATCTGTGAGTTTGAGGCCAGCCTGGTCTACACAGTGAGTTCTAAGCCACACAGTGAGACCCTGTCTCAAATAAATAAATGATAGATAGATGATAGATGATAGATAGATAGATAGATAGATAGATGATAGATTAGATAGATAGATGATAGAACAGGGCTGAATTTCATCGCCAGACACCAGAAATGGAGACAGAGTGAAAGATGATTAGGTACATTAATAGATACATAGAGAAATGGATGGATGGATGAATGGATGGATGTATAGAACATAGGTCATAGAGGTGATAAATAGAAAGTTAGATCGATGTCAGATGCGTACAAGATACATAAATGGATGACTGATGATATAGATGATAGAGAGATGGTAGATAGATAAGATAGATAGATGATAGATAGATAGATAGACAGATAGATATATAGATAGATAGATAGATAGATAGATAGATAGATAGATAGATAGATAGATAGATAGATAGATAGAGCAAACAATGTAGTAAAGTTTTAAAATTAAAGGGACCAGTGAGGTGGCCCAGTGAGTAAAGGTGCTTACTGCCAAGTCCAAGTTCAATCTCTGAGATCTGCACATTGAAAGGAGAGACCCAACTTGAAACAGTTGTCCTCTTGACTTCCACATGCATGCCATGGTATGTACACACAAATACATACATGCACACAAATAAATAAATGTAACTAATTTTTTTTTTAATTAAGAGAAATTTAGTAAAGCAACTCAAAAGCATCCCAGAGATATGTCAGTGGAACACCACCCTGGGAGTGGTACTGAATCGCAGGAGGCCTCCTTACCCAGGGACACAAGGCTCCTGTAGTTCTCCATGGTCACTTTCCTGTACAGATCTTTCTGAGCAGGGTTCAGCCATTCCCATTCCTCTTGAGTGAAATGTACAGACACATCCCCAAACGTCACCAAATCCTGAAATGACACAAACACATTATTATTCAACTACTGCTCAAATTTTCAGGTGGGCCCAGGTGAAAGAGTCAAAGCTGGATGTAGTGGTGCATACCTGTAGGCAACACTCAGTAGGCAGAGGGAACGGGATCCTGAGTTCCAAGCCAGTCTGGGCTACAGAGTGAGTTCCAGGTTAGTTTGCAAGACCCTGTCTCAAAAACAAAAACAAAACCTAGCAGAAACAATACAACACAACAAACAAACAGAAAAAGAGCTAACATTAGCTAAACTGATAGTGCTTGTTAACGTGTTTGCTTTGTTTTTGTTTGTTTGGAGACAGGGACTTGTATATGGCTCCAGCAGCCTGAATTCACAATCCTCCTGCCTCAGCTTCCCAAGAGCTACGATTAAGTGTACACCAGCATGTCTTCCTCCCTTCCTCTTTCTCTTTGCTCCCTCCCCATTCTTTCTGTCAGACAGGGTCTTGCTATGAAGCCTACGCTGGCCTTGAACTCCCCATCCTTCTGCCGCAGGCTCTCAATTGCTAAAATCCCAGCTGTGACCACCACCAGCAAGCATCCCTCTTACATTCTGAGAAATGCATGTCAGCAATGGCTATGCTTGTCTTGATATTCTGCTATGAAAAGGATATAATTTCTGAGAAAAATCTCTACTGGTGGAGAAAAGACATGTCCACTGATAAAACTGAGCAGTAACACCATAATCAGTCAAGTGTACAATAATAAATTATTTGTATTGAATGCCAAGGAATTTATCTACTTGGAGAAAACAGAACACAGTGGGGCAGGAAAGATTGCTATGTAATAAGTAATGGATGGATGTTATCTTAGACTAGCCACTTAATGATTTGTAAGAATTATGTATAATTAATAAGATAAGGAAAAATAGGGGCTGGAGAGATGGCTCAGTGGTTAAGAGCACTGGCTGCTCTTACAGAGGACACGGGTTTGGTTCCTAACGCCCACTTGGTGGCTAAGAACCATCCATAACCCCAGAGGATTTGACACTCTCTTCTGACCACTGCATGTACATGGTACACATACATACATGAGGGCAAAAAACTTATATACATAAAAATAAGTAAATCTTTCTTTAAAAGGTTCTTAAAAGATATGCATTAAAATCACTGTGGGAAGGAAACTCATTAAAGATGTATTTTCCTGGGTCCTATCACCAGGATAGGAGTCGGCAGGCTGGATTGGACTCCTGGAAACAGTATTTGGGTTGATGGGCTCTTTCAACCACCTATTCTGTACACAATACCCTCTGCTTTTTCCTTTTTCCATTATCCATTCAATGGCAGAAGAGGTGGCTGAACACTGTCATTCTGGTCTCCCTCTTACAGAGGAAGAACTCACTCCTTTGTTCGTATTTGTGATGAATATTTACCGGCTGCTTAGTACCTAGTGGGCACCATTCTATGAATCGAGAATACAAACATGAACAAAATAAAGTTCCCCCCCTTGCAGATTTAAAACTCTAACAAAGAAAGGCATTTAAACATGAGGCCATACAATATCAGGTAGTATAAAGTAATACCAGGGCCAGGTGTGGTGGTGTGCACCTTTAATTCCAGCATTAGGGAGGCAGAGGCAGGTGGATCTCTGTGAGACTGAGGCCAGCCTGGTCTCAATAGTGAGATCCAGGCTAGCTGGGACTACAGGGAGATCCTGACTCAAATAAACAAACAAAAAAGTACACTTGCTGCTCTTGCAGAGGACCTGAGTTCAGTTCCAGCACCCAGGTCTGGCGGCTCACAGCTGCCTATAACACCAGCTCCAGGGAATCTCATGCCTCTGACCTCTGCAGGCACCTGCACTCATGAACTCATACCCACACCTTCTTCTGTCCTCCATGGGCACTCACACACACACACACACACACACACACACACACACACAATTAAATTTTTTTAAAATATTTTTTAAAAATTCAGTTTCTTGGGCTGGAGAGATGGCTCATAGGTTAAGAGCACTGGCTACTCTTGCAGAGGACCTGGGTTCAATTCCCAGCACCCACATGGCAGCTAACAACTGTTTGTAACTCCAGTTCCAGGGAATCCGACAGTCTCTTCTGTCCTCCACGGGCATTGCATGACATGGGTGCACTTACCTACATGCAGGCAATACATGCATACACATAAAATAAAAAGAATAAATAAAATATTAAAAAAAGAGTATTACCACCAGTTGAAAGCCAGCCTGGGCTACATAGGAAGTTCCAAGCTAGCCTGGACTATGAAGTGAGGCCATATCTCAAAGAAGCAAAACCAAAAAAGTCCAGTTTCTCTGTCAAACTAACACACACAATGCTCCACAGCTGTATGTGGCTAGGGCTAGTGGTATGGTACTGGGCAGTGGAGCTATACAACATTCCTACTATTGTGCTGCTCTGCCTGTTTGAGACATTCCCACAGCTTCTTAACTGTGGGTTACAACTCGACATCTGAATGGTCAAAAACCAAACACAAAAAAGACAACAGTACGGAGTTTCTGAGCATGTGCTGCCCCTAAACGAAGTCAAAACACATGAGGAATCCAAGGTGTTTGTGGCAGCACTCATCTGTTCATCTGTGTTCTCAAGGAAACTGGGATCCAGTGCAGCCTTGGCTCTGAACACGCACATGTGCACTTTGCACTGTGCATGCCATCATGCCCATACAACCCCAACCAATGAAATGAAGCCAGAAACACCTCAGGTCAGATTTGAGACTATGAGGACCTGAGTTTGGTTCCCAGTACCCATATCTGGCAGCTCTCAACTCCTGTCACTCCAGCTCCAGGAGAGCTAACATCCTCCATCCTCTCTGGCACTGCCGTCCTCCGCAGGCACTTGCACTAATGTGCACGTACCTACATACAGACACATACACATACATGTAACTAAGACATGTATTTTGAGACAGGGTCTCCCTGTAGCCCCAGCTGTCCTGGAACTCACTGTGTAGACCAGGCTGGCCTTGAACTCACAGAGATCCGCCTGCCTCTGCCTCCCAAGTGCTGGGATTAAAGGCATGTGCCACCACGCCTGGCTCTAAAAATATTTTTTAAACAATTGCATTGTTTTACTGTATGTACAGAGTTTCTGTTCTTTTTTCTAGATTTATCATGTTGTTTGTTTGTATGATACAGGGTCTCCCTGTAGCCACAGCTGACCTGGAACTATGTAGACCAGGCTGGCCTTGATCTCAAAAAGATTCACCTGCCTCTGCCTCCCATGTGCTGGGATTAAAGGTGTGTGCCACCATGCCCTGTCCTATTTTTATTGTTTTTAATTATGTGTCTATGTGTAGGCCTGTGCATGGGAATGCAGGTGCCACGAAGGCCAAAGAAGTCAGATCCCCCTGCAGCAACTGCTCAACACGGATGCTGGTGACCAAACTCCAGTCCTCTGCGAGAGCAGCTTATATATTCTTAACTGCAGAGCTCTCTAGCCCCAGTTTTCTGTTCTTACAAAAACACTATGGGGGCTGGAGAGACACCTCAGTGGTTAAGAATGCATACTCCTCTTGCACAGGACCAGAGTTTGGTTCCCAACACCCACATAAGGTGATTCAGAACCACCTAAAACTCCAACTCCGGGGGGATCTGACACCCTCTTTTGGCCTTGACACACACAGACACACACATGTATATATAATGTAAAATAAAAATAAAATCTTAAAAATTAGAACACTATAGCTCAATTGCAGAGACTAAATGGTGGTTCATACAAGACAGGCATGAGTGGAAGGGCTGGGAGAAGGGAGTCCCACTGATAGCCTGTGTTTATCTGTGTAGCCTCCCAGTCTACTGTAAAATCCTTGTCCCAGCCTTCAGCATGAAAGCCTGGTCCCGCGCTCTCAAAAAGGAATTAGATATGAGGTAACCAGAGAAAGTGCAATTGTATCATGGAAGTCATGTCTCCTGATGGTCAAATGTGCTTTTGTGCCGTCTCTCCAGTCCCATGGCATCTTATTTTTCCGGCAGAGTCAAGGAACATTTTGGTTTCTGGAATTCAGCAGCCTGATGGGATCTCATTAGAGAGTCACTTGCTCTTGGTTTCCATTCCAGCAAAAATAATAATAATAATAATAATAATAATAATAATAATAATAATAAAATCCCCCAGAACCCAAGAGCATCCCTCATCCCCAAGCCAGCATTTCTTCTTTATTCATGAACGAACTCAGCCCCTCCTGTGGGTTCAGTGCTGTTAGGAACACTAAAGAGGTGAAAATACACTCTGGTGGGTTATGAAAGCCCTACACTGTGCACTGGAGGCTGAGGTCACCGTGTGTTAGCTGTGACTGGTAGGAAGGAGCTTTCTCCACAGTCTTGGTTTGAAAAGAAGACAAAGAAGTAGGAGGGCTACTGAGTGCTCTGAGTCATCGTATTTGGCAAAGACTCCATCCAGTTCAAGGGGCTGGAGAGATGGCTCAGCGGTTAGGAGCACTGGCTGCTCTTGCAGAGAACCTGGGTTCAATTCCCAGCACCCACATAGCAGCTAACAACTGTCTGTAACTCCAGTTCCAGGGGATCTGATGCCCTCTTATGGCCTCCACAGGCTTTGCATGACCCTGATGTACTTATACACATGCAGGCAATACACTCATACGCAAAAATATAAATAAAAAATAATCATTAATTAATTAATTTTTAAAAAAGATGGCATTTCAGGGAAGAGAGAAGTGGGTGTTTCTTACCTTGGACATGGCGTTAAAACTTTAGGAACATATGACTGTGTTTCTGTTCTCTGCCTTTAAGTTCTTTTCTGGGAGAAGGGCAATATCCTAAGAAAGGAGAGCTGGGCAAGGGGAAAGAAACCATGAAATTCCAGGCCTGCCCTGCAGTCCCCAGCACCAGCCTGGAAACCCTTCTCTCCTCCTCTCCCTCTCCCATCACAGAAGAGCACTGGCGGTATCATTAAGTACATTTAGAGTTCTCTTTCCTTTGTGCTATTTCAAGAATTCAACACATTTTATGTATAAGTTATCTCTTCACTTATAAACAGTAAGATGAATTATGGAATGGCCGCACAAAGTAAGAGTCTTCTACCCCATCACACGTGAAGGCTTTGCATCATTGAAATTATCTAAGTAACAAGTAATTGAGCCAGACTGGAAATAAAATTTTAATTTTTAGTCTACCAGATGATGATGTTGAAAGTGTCCCCACCCTTTCTACAAGGCTATGAAATGAATGCCTTGCAGAAAGCAGCTTTACACAGAGGTACCATGTGATCCGGAGGACACTGGACCAGACAGTCAGGACACTGCTTCTGATCTTGGCTTATTAACAAACTGCACCTGAAAGCCAAGTTCTTGACTTTTCTGAGCAATTTCCTCAGAAAGGGGTGAAGGGTAACTGCAGTCAACCATCTTCTTTTTCTGTTGCTTTTTTGTTTTGGGTTTTTTTGCTTTGTTTTGTTTTATGTTGTTTTGGTTTTATTGAGACATAGTCTTCCTGTAGGCACAGCTGTCCTGGAACTTGCTATGTAGACCAGGCCGGTCTTGATCTCAGAGATCAGACTGCCTCTGCCTCCTGAGTGCTGGGACTTGGGGACTCGCCAGGCTTTAAGCCATCTTCTTAATCATGAGTCGTTTTTCCCACTAGAACTCACTGCCTTGAAGAATAAAACCTTTAAGAAGCAGTATAACCCAGTGCTAAGAAGTCCCGTATCTACATGTTAGAGTGCCTAGATTCAAACACCCAGTACACGGCATCTAGTCAAATTCTGTTCACACAATCACACATACTCTCATGCCCCCTCCTCATAACACAATGACATACTGTTACACATTCTCCAGCACTGTCACTCAGTCTCAGTTACACTATATCACATACAGTGACCTAAACTCACATACTGTCTCTCACAGTGTCACAGGCTCCATCCCTGGTGGCAGAGACCTCCCTGTAGGAGCATCATAGTTCCAAACACAGCCTCACCCTCACAGGCCTGCTCACACATGGTGGCATACTCAGGTTGTATTCTCACAGTTTGTCACAGTCTTACAATGCCATAAGTCACTCACGTGAGGTGACGAAGTTTCATACTGTCCCACACGTCCTCAAAGCCTCACATCGTCTCACACACTGTCACAAGCCTCCACACACATGGTGGTGCAGTCTTGTCCTGTCATACACAGTCACAGGCCTCCTCAATACCGTGAGCAATCTCACACATGGTCACACACACCGTCACAAGTCTCCTCAATACCATGATGCAATCTCACAGGTCATACACTGTCACATACATTGTCACACACGGGTCTCCTCAATACCTTGATGCAATCTCACATGTCTTACACTGTCACATCATTGTCACACACAAGTCTCCTCAATACCACAATACAATCTCATATGTCATACACTGTCACATATATTGTCACACACGGGTCTCAATACCGTGATGCAATCTCATATGTCATACACTGTCACATATATTGTCACAGATGGCCCCCTCAATACCGTGAGCGATCTCATGTCACACACATGGTCATACACATGGTCACAGCCTCTCAGCCTCACAGTCACAGGCCCCTCACACAGATGTCACTCGGGTCCCCCCCGCTGTCACGAGCTGTCACACGGTCTCCACGGCCACCCGCAAGGCTGCTCCCCCCTCCATGGACCCAGCGGCACCGCGCTCCTCACCGGGCGCTTCCTCGGTCCGCGTCGCCCCTCGCTCGGCGCCGTCGCAGGCTGAACCGGGCCCGGGGCTCGATCCCGCGCCACCGACGGCTCTCACAAAGGCGCGGCTGCGGCGGGGGTCCGCGCAGGGGCCGCTGGGAGATGGAGTCCAGCGCTCGGCCGGCGCGGCGCAGGGCATGCTGGGAATGCCCGCCCCGGCGCGGCTCCCAAGTCCAGGTGTCTCTGCCCACACGCTGTCTCCCCTGAGGGTCTTCAGAACCAGAACCAACCCCGGGCTGGGCGGGCGGAAGCATTGCAGGGCCGGCCGGGGTTGCGCATGCGCAGGTCGCTTGGCCGGATATTCCAGGTTGCTCCCTCATCCCCGGGGTGGTCGGACGCGCACGCGCAGTGCAGGCCAGTGCTGGGTAACGGTGCTGAAGGCGGGCCAGAGCCCCAGGGTGTCACTAGGCGGCTGTGTGGTCAAGGCCAAGGTGTAGGTTCCCTTGCTTCTTTACTGCTCTCGGTCTTTCCCTTTAAGTCATCATTTATGATGAGCTCTGTGCCAGGCACTGGGGACTCAACAGTGAACCAGGGGACCAGCGTCCTCACCATCATGGAACTGACATGAATTTAGGGGGAAGTGAGCTAGGGGTGTAACCCAGTGGTAGACTGCTTGCTTAGCATGCCTGAGGCCCTAGATTCAGTCTGCCAGGGGAAAAACGTACTGCCAGAAAAGGGGGGTGGAAGTAAATTTTTCCAAAAAGATACATATATTGGGCATTGATACTTTTTTTTTTTTTTTAAAGTATTAAGATCATTCAGAAAGGAGGATCAAAACTTGGAGGCCAGTCTGGGCTGTAACCCTCCCGGCAGGAAAGGTAGTAGTTCCTGTTTTCGGCTATCAGACTATTGAGACAATGGCTCCCAAGAAAATGGGATTTTTCTTAGGAATCTTTTGTTGGGAGAAAGAAGGGCTGAAACCTGGTACCAGGCAGAAGAGGAACTTGTCTGCACAAAGATTTCACACAGTTTTGACATTTGGCAGGAGAGCCAGGACAACGATGGGTCAGTGTAGGGACCACAACCTCACACCTTCACCAGGACCGTTTAGTTATGTATGTCTTTTATTCTCTATTTAGACCTGAACTTCATGGACTTGGGGATCGTGTGTGTGTGTGTGTGTGCGTGCGTGTGTGTGTGTGTGTGTGCGTGCGTGTGTGTGTGTGTGTGTGCGTGCGTGTGTGTGTGTGTGTAACTGCATCTTCCCAAAGTGGCTAGCTACACCAAATAAATATTTCTCTGCTTTTCATTACCACTAAATTCTCTAACTGGCCTCCTGCAGCAGGTGGCCAAGCCCAGCCTCTTAGGGCTTCCAGACCCAAGCTCAGACCCTACCAACTCTGGGAACATGGCTACATAGATCTTGAGTCAAAAACCAGCACTAGAGAGATGGTTGAGCAGTTAAGAGTACTGGCTGCTCTTGCAGACGACTCAGGTTCGAAACCCAGCACCCACATGGTGGCTAACAACCATCTGTAACACCAGTTCCAGAGATCTGACACCCTCTTCTGACCTCTTCAGGCATTGTATGACATGGGTGAACTTAACATACATGCAGGCAAAACACATATAAAAAGTAAAAAAATATTGGGCTGGAGAGATCGCTCAGCGGTTTAGAGCACTGACTGCTCTTGCACAGGACCTGGGTCAATTCCCAGCACCCACATGGTGGCTGAAAACCATCCTTAACTTCAGCTTAAGGGGAATCCAAAACCTTCTTCTGACCTCTGAGGCATTGCACAACATGGGTGTACTTACTTACATGCAGGCAGTACACTCATACACATAAAGTAAAAATAATAAAATATGGCACAACTTGCCAGCCTCTCTCCTGGTCCCCAGGAGCCCTTGGGGCCTCTTTCCGCCCCCAACTCCTTTTGCATCTCTGGGTGTGAAGGCCACCAGCTGCCCGAGACCACCATCTTCCCTGGGCCCTGCTCCCAGGCTAGTCCAACCCCCAAATTCCTGAGGACAGCATCTTTCCTGGAGGGATCCAGACGTTAGGAGAAAGCCTGAGAGCTTCTGATCCTCATCTGACTTGGGCCTCTGTGGGAACTCTTGAAGACCAAAGCAATCTGGCCACTCGAATATAAAATCGAAAGGGAGAATTGGAAGCTTAGACAAACCATCTTTTCATTCCCCAAAAGTAAACCACAAAGGCACATAAAGTTAAAAACTTGAAGGCTTGAGTTTCACACAAGAATCAGAAACTACAAAAGAAATTCACATGTCAAAATCACAGAGAAA